TGGCATTCCGATCGGCACCGGGCTCATCGGATGCATCATTATTCCGGGATAGACAAGTGGTGACATTGGATGAGCTGGATAGACCGGAGTCGGAGGCCCACGAATTCGTCCTTGTGGATACGGCGATGACGAAGGTGTATACGGCGAAGCGGGCCTGAATGGACTTGGCGCCCTTGGCGCATTAGATCGTCCCGACCAGCTACCCGGAGGCATATGACCTCCTCCGGGTGGCTTCGACGGATGCTGTTGCGACATTTCGGATCACCTCAACTGCTCGCCGCGTCGCCTCGTTTATAGGCTAGCATCGCTATAAGAAAGGTAATGATTCAACGATCTTTAATTATCTGAACGCCAATTAACAATAGAATAGTATTTATATCTCTTTCTATCATTGTCAGTTTCTATTCGTGCAAATTCGTGTTAATTACGCATTTTCGATTGGAACAATATCTTATGTTTATTGCTAATTTTATCTACCTGCACGGATAGAACGATTTTGCTAAAGTATTTAAAAATTTGGATATATAGATATGAAAATAATGTATTGGACTATGAAAATAATTACGTCGGAATGTCAAGTATGATGAGCAATGCTGCAAGAAGTTTTAACATTCTAGCAATCAGTTTGAGCGTCCAACATAATTATTTTAATGGTCCAACAAAATTATTTTCAGATCTCTAGCTAAATTTTTAGATGCTCCATCAAAATCGTTCTTTTTATAGAGACGTGACATTTATATTTAAAAAAATGATAATATACGTATTGCGTTACGTAATTATATGCGCAGATTTTATAAGCTGAAATAATCAATAATATTAATTGATTTGATTTAAAAAATTGGAAATATAATTAATTATTATTTGACTCTCTCTTATTTTGGATGTATTTGTCAATAATGTTTCAGTCACATCCTGTATTGGATAAAATAGCGGAATATCATTCCATTGAATACAAGTAATTTAGAACGAGACACAATTTGACGTTTGATTGACAGTAATCATTTTAGGAAAACAAAAGTCCACGAATAAACTTTAAGAGACTAAATGAACTCGGGGTCGCATAATAGCGTCGGCTATTCGACATGGCATATGGCCAAAAGTTTCTCGAAATAGGTGAGTACCGTCGTACATACGTACCTATGAACTCTTGCACACTAATGCAGAAAGAAAGTATCTACGTACAATTATCAAAATGTCAGAGAGAATGCGGACACGCGAAAGTACGAATAACGGGGAGCGATATATAACGAACAGAAGTTCCAGCGCCAATCCAATAAAATAATCAGATTTATTTTAATCGTACGTAATTTAGATACAATGTATCGTAAATTTCGAAAATATCTGCCAGTTGTAATAATAAGTAATATTCTCTCTAATGAACGCTTGACTTTTTGAAAGTATATCGAGAAACATTTCGACAGATTTCGGCTGTAGAGTTCGTTGATACCAAAAATCTTGGCAACTGGAAACAGCAGTCTATATCTATTCAATTTCGATGTCTATTTAACTTCGGCCAGACGCATCAAATGTGTCACGCTCTTCTTGGTCATAATTACCGTTTCCATCATATTCGTACGTATATGTATTCTTTTAAACGTTACGAATTTAGGAAAATAGTTTTCTTCTGTATAATTATTATTCTATTATTATTAAGTCGAATATATTTTAATATATCGAATAGCAATGTTAAGATTCTCGAATCGTCTTCGCTGCATCTCTTGGATGTATGTTTCTAACGACACCGGCAATGAAAGGTATTTCTCGGTCTCCTTTTCCATTGTTTCGCCAAGCCATTTACGCGCCGTAAAGTCGAAAGAGGAAGTCTGTGTGCTCTCAACGCGTGTAGACGAAAAGTCTTAAGCTTTTTAGCTAGATACCGAGTGTAGGCCGGTTAAATATAGCGCTATTTCTATTTTCGATCAGCACGGCGTTTATACACGCGCCCGACGAGCCGGCAGGTATATTCGCAATGACTGCGTCGGATATTTCGGAAACTGACACGGATATTAACAGCTGTAATCGCCCATATCACGGTCGCGCTGGTTTGACCACACACGTGGAGTGCGAACAATCGCTTCACTAATGTTAATCCCAAAAATATATCCTACCAATATAATGGGTCGATCTCGCAAGTAAATCTTGAAAGGTGTCACGACTTTTTCGCGATCTGCTGTCGTTGGAGAATGATTTTCAACTGGTTATATTCCAAGAGCGCAATTGGCATAAACTACAGAATGTAAAATATGACGAACTTGAAACTCCAACGAAGTACGTTTGCATTGTCTAGATCTTGTTACAAAAGCGTTGTGCTAGTTTGTAATTTAACAGTAATTTATACTGTTCTTTGAGAGTTTATGAGAATCTGTCGGGACATTCATTCTTTTCTGTGACACTCAGTTTGTACCTCATCTATGTGCCTCGTCTACGTCGCGCGTGCATAACATACATCTCTCTGTCATAATTCCAAGACATGTATTAGCAATGTATAAAATATGAAGAACTAACAGAATAGTAATAATTGAAGCACTAATTTTGAAGAATATGGTAAAATGAATATATAGCTAAAGTAATTTGTGATCGATCCAAATCTTTCTAATCGATAAAATTATAATCGTTAATGTTAAAATCATGATAGTAGCAACGCTTGCTGTTTAAAACACCGAAATCATGATCTCAGTCACGCAAGGCAAAACGAAAGCAAGAAAGATCTCAGTTAGATCGGAAAATTTAGTATGAGGATGGATCAACGGGCAGTCGAATATTAGCGGCATACTGGATCCTGGACCTCGGATGCTGCGTCCAAAAATAAGATCTCTCTGCTGAATTGATGATCAGAAATAGTTGGCGTTCGGATATGGCTGACAGAATTGTCTGGTTTGTCAGTCAGTAATTATTATTGAAAGTATACCGAAGAAGGAAAACCACTTCGGTTTATTTAATTCCCAGGATATCACTATGGCGAGGAAATCATGGCCAAAGTGATCACCAACGTCCGGGGGACCGGATAAAGCACATGAAGAAGAGAAGAATTATTATTGGCCTTTGCCCTCATCAACCCCATAACATTAACGGCGATCATGTTATAAACGTAGATTCTACGTATAACTGTTGAATGAGCTTTGCAAAACTTCGATGCGTACCGTTTATTCATTCGAGAACATCTCAAGTCGATTCGTTAAACTTAACTGTACATGTAGATCGTTTCAGAAAATTATCAGTTTATTGAGTTCTTAGATAAATTTAATAATCCAAAATGTTTTAAGAAACAAATCGAAGAATAGTCTTGTGATAAAAGAAATGTACTGAAACTATTGAAAATTATTCCAATCAATACGTAATTTCACTTTTAATTTTGTTTGGCAAATTTTCATTGTAATATGATACACTTTTTGTATCAATCTAATAATGTACATGACATTAAAATTGACATACAACTTGTTTTATTAACGTTTATCATGATAAAATACAAATAAAATTCTGAAATCTCAATATCGTAAGTAATTAATTGAAAGATTGAAATTATTGCAATATGACGATTAATGAAATTTATGAATTATGCAACCATCTGTAAATCATCACATACTCAAGCAAACAGCCACCCACGCGAATGCAAACACAGGACATTCCAAGACTCTTAATCATAATTTTAACAATATAAATTCTATATTTGACTTGCTCAATTTGTCGAAAATGTGTATTTTTTAACTTTAAATTTTAAATTTTCTACAACTCGAGAGATTGGTATTTCAGCACTGTATAAAGTGAAATACTACAAAAATTATATGATTGAACATCTTGAGTACACGTAACACAAATTACCGGCAAATCCAGAAATTCTTGATACGATTCAGCTGACGAGCTTAATGGCCGATCGATTCTCATCAATTGAAATTAAATTCTACTCTGAAAATCGCACTTTGTTGCTCCGCTTTCTTTGGGGATTCACTGCGAAACTCGCGGTCAAGAGATGATCATCGAGCGAGAAATTTAATCGACACTGATTACAGATCGAGGTAGTAGTGAAAGAAAAGAAAAAAAAGAAAGGAAGAGAGGACAATTTCTATGCCAGATCTCGCGACGCGAACCACAGAGAGACTGGTCCCGGCGCTGGATCATCGATCCAGGATGGGCGTCGCGACGCGTTCTCTCTCTCTCTCTCTCTCTCTCTCGCGGCCCGCATTTATATTTAACTTTGGCATCACTCGACATTCGACTTAGCAGTACTGCTCGTCCTTTCCTCCTCGCCCTCCAACAACGTTGCCCTCGTTCTCACCTCCTGTTCTGTTCTCTTCTTTCGACGGGCTCGCTTCTTTTTCTTCGTTCCACCCCGCGTCGTGGACGCCGGTGCGAGGTGCTGGTGCCACGCTATTATCACCGATGAGCCAACGGCCATCACTCATCGATAATTTTGGTCGTTCATTACGAAAATGTGTTCAACGACGTGCAACTGAATACCGATCAAACGTACTTGCGGAAATGATTTTGCAGGACGACGACCTGATCGGGCATCTTTCTTTATTAAGGTGTAACAGAAATGTCCCAGATTCTAGGTATATTTCCATTGGCGTATATTGATGTAAAGATATTATGTATGTAATATAGAAAAATTTGCAATATAGCGATATTTCTGTTGTATGTGTGTGTGTGTGTGTGTTGAATGATATAATTTATTATTTTTTATTATCTCTTATTTTTACACACGCGCTCATGCACACACATACACACACACATACACACACACACACACACACACACATAAATAATTTAACTACAGTGTACGTAAATTCACTTTACTGATTAATAAAACATTACAACTGGCAAAAATGCAGTATAAGTTATAACAAATATAATGGGACAAATTATTTAATAAATCGTGTTAAAAATATAGCGCATTAATACACATATGTAATTAAATATTTATAAATTAATACGTAATTAAATATTATACTTCGTATATACTCGTCCAGAGTGTATTACACATTTTATTTTTTTAGTATCGTCAATATCAAAATTGAATCTCCTTCGTATCAATTTGTTGGAGGGAATGGCCCATCTCCGATAGGTCTGGTATCACCCACAATCATTTGAGGGACACATTTAGCTGCATATACCATGCATACTAAATTACGACAGCATTCATCAGTGATCTGACACTATAATTATGATAATATAATGTAAATGTAATAAAATGTATTATCTAGTGAAAAATAACCGTCAATTCAATGTCGAAACGTTGATTCAAAGTCGAATTGATGGTCATTACTAAATGTAGAAAAATCTTGCGTTATATAAACATACGTATGTATATATTGATACAATGTTATAAATAGCTAAAATGTGATCAAAAATTTAAAATAGCTAAAGTTATAAAAATATATGTACATGATTTATATATAAAAGAAATTAAAAGCTAATACAATTACTATTACTTTCTATTATACTTACTTTTCCAAGCCAGGGAGTGCATACAGCATCAGAATCCATAGAATCAGAAGCAGTTGTTATGCTATTAATATCGACCATAAAAACCATTAAAGGGAGTATCAAGTATTTCATTGTAATGGAGAAATTTGCTGCAAATGTTTAATAAAAAAAATTAACGGTATCTAACTGCATTAAATTAATTAACATTCGAATATGCAATACAATGAATGATATTAAAAGAAAATGGTAGCATATATATCTTTCAATTTCAATTAGCATCGATACGTACAAAACTTTACTTGAGTAAAATGTTATTGAGAATAGATACCGAAAACTTTCAAGATTCCAACGCGCTTAACTTTAGGAAAACTACAATTATGCCGGATTCTCGTAAATTTATAGAAACATGCAGATAATTTTGTTTGATGAAATCGATAATAATTGACAACAATCTATCAGTAGGCTTATTTTTTCTGTTTGATAGATATCTCGCGCGCGTGCGCGGAAAAGATATGAATCTGATCGTTTACTTGATCTAAATTTTTTATCTGTATAAAAACATTTTACAAATGTGAAACATTTCTGTTTATTTATTTAAAACTTATTTAAAAAATTGTTTTGTTTCAAAATACAAAAATTTGATTAAAAAATATAAATTCAAAATTATAGATTCAATCTAACGGAGGAAAAGAATGTATTTTTAAATTCTAATTGAAAGTTTTTCTATCGTAAAACTTTTCCAAAATAGTAAAATATAAGTTGAATCACAGTCTAATCTATTTCATATATTCGCAAGTATTAACATCCTTATATCACTGTTTCATTTATACCTTATATGTATATATAATCTGAATATTATATGTAATATATTGTATATTATCAAAAAAAAATATTTTAGTAGGATAGACCGGGACTTTTTTCGTCAGTTTCAACTTTAAAGTAAATTTAAACGAAAATTTACAATAGTAAACAATATTTCTTTCCAGTAACATGCTTATACATTATACAGTCATGATTACTTCTTGAAAGTACAAGCACAAGTTTAAATAATCAACATGTGCTGTTCAGAAGCATAAATATTATTGCGAGAAATGGACGAAAAAGCCCCACTCTACTCTAAGTGTCACACAAAGATAACGTGCAAAGATAACGCTTATGTCAAGTCTCTCATGGCTTAGTTTATAATGTAAGAACTTTCAGATCCTACTTCGCAAATAATTTTTTATATTTTATAGTATATTATACAATACTTATATTATTTTTATATTTTATAGTAGTACTTATTACAATTTTTTATTGAAGTTTAAGTATTTTTATTTAAACATTCCTTGAAATGAGTTTTATTTGATTTATGTTATCTAATATATGTCCGCGGAAATATATATTTTTTTAAACACATTAAGATAAGTATATGTTCAAATAAAATATAAAAAAAAGGTTAAAAGAAATTAAGAATAAAATACTTACTAATTTTGTTGGAAGAAGAAATGTTTCATGTGTGCAATACGATTTCCATTGACACTTTGAAACGGAACGAGTATACTATATACGCGCGCGCGCACACACACACACATATAACTTGTATATGGGGCATTCCACGCCAAGTGGGCCACCCATTTTGCGAAGTTCCATGGATTTCATTCATATTGCGTGAACTTGAACAATTTGATGAATAAAGACTCTATGCCAAATAATATACCTGTAAGCCAACTGGTTACCGAACTGTAGAACCGTCAATTTTTGGGCTTTCTCGTTGCAGTGCTCTTTTCGCTTGTCGTTAGTGGGCATGAAAGGTAATTTTGAAAATAAAGTGCAGACGTATTCTTATAGAAAATTGAACGCTCTTTCACGTAAGAATATTCTTTTTTTGACCAGACCGGTTTACGATGATGTTTTTCAGTTTTGAACTTTTCAAAATGGCGGCGCGCCTAAAAGGCCGCTCTCAATTTTCTTTTAATATAGCTCAAAATGTAGCTCCAGGTCTCTACTTTGTTACTCTAAAAGGACTTAATGGCACACGCATTCGTTTGGGAGTAAGTGTTTGGGAGTAAGAGCTAGAAAAGTGAGGAAAATGAGTGGTGCGGCAGGGGGACGGAGCGACATTGCCTCACTTTCCTAGCTCTTACTCCTAAACGAATGCGTGTGTCATTAAGTCCTTTTAGAGTAACAAAGTAGAGACCTGGAGCTACATTTTGAGCTATATTAAAAGAAAATTGAGAGCGGCCTTTTAGGCGCTCCGCCATTTTGAAGAGTTCAAAACTGAAAAACATCATCGTAAACCGGTCTGATCAAAAAAAGAATATTCTTACGTGAAAGAGCGTTCAATTTTCTATAAGAATACGTCTGCACTTTATTTTCAAAATTGCCTTTCATGCCCACTAACGACAAGCGAAAAGAGCGCTGTGACGAGAAAGCTCAAAAATTGGGTGGCCCACTTGGCATGGAATGCCCCATATTTATCTCATTAACATATTATGTCCCTTAACATATCTGTACTTATTATCAGTTCATTTTATGTTTAGAAAAATATAATGCATCAATTTTTATTGGTTTATTTGATAAATACGTATTCGTACACTGAAAGAAAAGATTGGTTGCTGCAGCCAATTAAAAAACGCTATGCCATATTTTACCATTTAATTGTTGCAGCAGCCAATCCTTTCTTTCAGTATACATGCATTAGGCTATAGCATTAATAAAAATTGAAGCATATTTTTTTAAAAATATATAAATAAGACAAGTGTTGTTAAAAAATAACAGAAATTCTTTTAAAAAATTTTGATACATTTTTTCATTTTTTTCACATGCTTTTTACATTTATGTGTAGTTTTATTTTCATATAAAAAGATTGGATTATAGTTATTAAATTATATACAAGGTTTATGTAACTAATGTTTATCAATGTTTATCGAAATTAAGCAAGTAATATTGGTTATGATGTATAAATTATTATAGATTACTACAAACTGCAATGTGTTTTTCCATGAATACACTCAGTTCATAAATTCTTGAGACAAGATATAAAAAAATTTACTATATATATAACCAAATTTATTATATTAATATTATTGATTGATAATATATCTATTATAGCTTGGGGACTCGCTTTAACGGCAAAGGGAACTTCGACCATAATTGTATTCATTGTGATACTACATTTTTATATAAAATCAAAATAAATAGGGATATCAAGTTATTTTATTAAATAGATATATCTGTTAGGGAGAATCTTAATCTAATACATTTCCATTTTCAAAGAGAGAGAGAGAGAGAGAG